GAAAGAGATGGGAGAGCTTTCTGTGGAGACTTTGAGACTGAATGGATGCAACAAAATTGGAGGAAAATTCGTGTGGAAATATTTGAGTGAAATTGAACATTTGAAGCGTCTAGATTTGTCGAATACATCTGTTGATGATGATGGCGTTGAGGAAATGGTCAACTGTAAATGGCTAGAAGTGCTTTATTTGATACGTACGAAAGTGAGCGACAAGGCAATTACAAGTCTCTTGAAATGCAATTTGCTCCGAAAAATCGATGTGAGAGAGTCGAACGTAGTGAATGACTTTCTTTCCAACTGTATTGTAATAACAAAAAGTCCCGAACGTGTTGCAGAAAATCCACTCCTTGTAGTCAAAGATGTTCCCATTGAGAACAACAAAGAAGACAAAGAAAGTGACGATGAAAGTTCATCATCATCTGAGAGTAGCGAAGACAGTGACGATATTCCAGTGAAACCCGCAAAGATTGAAAAGGTCGAGAAGACTGATAATATGGAAAGCATATAACACACTTTTAATGTTGATTTTAAAAATCGGAATTTTGTTTTTGTTGAACCAAAGAATTATGAGATTGAGGAATTGAAAAGAACTTGAAATTGAAAGTGTTAATTACCTCGACCACCTCTTCCTCTTGTATTGCCACCACGTCCTCGACTTGAAGAACCACCGCGAGAAGATGCGTGAGAGCCTCCACGACCTCTTGATGAAAATCCACCTCTCCCACGATACACACCTCTTCCTCGACGTCCACCACGTTTTTCTTCACCAGGAAACACTGCTTTGATGTCAGACAATTTTTTTATTGGAAGGTCACATTGAAGGCAGCCAGTAACAGTCTGTCCGTTCTTGAGAGTAATATCGATGGTATGATATTGTTTGCACTTCTCACAAGGAACACCAATTGTGGCTTTTTTAACATCAGCGCTCCATTCAATATGGCTTTCACAAGTACAACAGAAACAACTGTATTTGTTCTGAAGCAGCGAAAGGCACATCTCCCCACCACACACACTGCAGAGACATACTTTAGTATACTCCCGACTGAATTTACATTTGGGGTTCATGCAATTCAGACAACCGCTGTGGTCTTCTGCCATATAGTCGTTCTTTGAATTGTAACAATTTGGACATATCAACTCCTTCTTGCTGAAATCCTTTGTTGTAGTCATCACCGTCTCGAAATTGCAGATGGGGCACGAAACACTGTTTTGTGTATATGTACACTTTT